AGCTGGGCTCCATGGTGGACGAACGGGCAGCCGAGCTGTGCGTCGGGTATAGAGGTGGTACAGACGACAGTGGAGGAGGCTGGGCGAGAAGCTGTTGGCGGCGAACGAGCTGCTGGAGCTCCAGAGAATAACGCCGCTGCTTCAAGGCCTCACGAGAATTCGGGCTGTACGCCCCCTGCGGGTCACCCCGTTCCACTGTTTCAGGTAAGTAGCACGACGCTCGTTGCTGGGGCGACCGGCGCCGCAGAGGGGCGAGGGTAGACGGGTGATGTTCGATCCCAGGCCCACAATCCTCAGGTACCGTAGCTGAGGTGGTATTCGAGGGTGCAATTCTCTGAGAAGTGCCCACTTTGCCAGGTCTTCCAGCTGACTGGCCACACACCTCTACAGAGGTGGAACAGGAGAGTGGGAACTGAGCCGTGCTCACTGGTGCACTGATCTGTGTCACGGTTCCATTATTGGCATTGTTGCTATTACTGTTGTTATTTGCATTGGCCAAGTCATTTTTCTTTTTGCTGAATTTGACACTTCCAGAGTCACTCAGTTTGAGCTTTTGCTTCAGTTTGCTGCCAAGTCGATCCATTGTGTTTTAATATAAGATCAACTACAACTTAAAATATAAAGTACGAATTGATTTTCTTTTAGATGCCACCTGAAAACAACTACAGTTTAAATAGTGTACTACATAAATACAGTGAAATACAGTGTGGGCACAAGCATCATTCAAGTGTTTCAACAGCAGATGAGATAACAGATCAAAAGATATGTGACATCCAAAAACTATAACAAAATAAGAATAAAATAAAAACAAATCCACACACACAAAAAAACGAACAGTTAAAAACTAATACTTTTTGATGATCTACAAAAATAAATATTTAACTTTGAAGATAAATAAAAACACTATGGCATTTTCTGCAGGCTACATGTCGTACTAGTTAGACTTGAAAACAAACGGTTTGTCTCCAAACTGTTTGCTTGAGATAAATTTGCTGGACATGCGTGTGAACAGGAGCATGTTCATCCATTTGTTTGCGATCCTTTTTGCAGCTACTTGTGGCCTTATCTTCGGCAGTGAGCAGATGAACGTGTGAAAACTACCGTCCGGCTTCAAAGAGTCTTGAATTTTGGTCCCAGACTCGCTCAGAACGGATCCATTCAAACGCTGAGTCTCGCAGTCACATCCGCAACACGGATCCACTGCCCACTGTTGTCGGAACCACTTGCAAGTCTTATAATTACCACTTGGTTCTTTGTCTCTGTGGATTTATCTAAACGGCGCTGCCGGTTGTTTCAAAAAATAAGAACGGAGTTTAAATGCTGAATAAATTCCAACGTGGTTTCCTTTGATTATGTTGGAGTTAAACACACAGGTTAAGGGATTCACCACGGCCCCTTTCTGACTCAACTAGCGGCTTTCAAAAACGCAAGTTGAAAACGTTTCTCTGTGCGGATAAATCAAACCGAGAACTCAAAAGCGTTTATTCCTCTGCAAAAAAAAGTACAAGGCAGATCAAAGGCTCCCGTTGTCCCGCAGGATTTCCACTTTGCCCAGTCCAGCTTGAAAGAAAATGTGCATTATTCCCCAAAAGTGGAAGTCTTCAAAAGCGTGTAGGCTTCTAACAACAACAAAACCAGCTGCAGCGAGTCGAAGGGAGGAAGTTCGCGTATCGCTCACCCAAACATATTCGCATAGATAAACACGCACTGCGCAATCTACGCCGGAAAACTGCGCTAAAATGTTCAACGTACAGTTTCTTTCTTTCCAATTTTTCTCCTTCCTCCCCCTTTCTTCTTCCTCTGTGGCGTTTCTCCCGACCGGAACACCTTTCCCCCGGGCAGCGCGCATGAATCGCATCCCACTATTTCGTCACACAGCCCAACTTCTTAAACAGACTGTGCCCCATTGGTTCAGCCGACTGTTTGGACTTACACAAACAACCTTGACATAGTCGCACACATTTATCAAATGACTCAAATAAAAAAAGACACACACTTTATGTTAGTCTAAGGGGTCAGAGGTTTAGTTAATAAATATTTGTGAGCCGACTGTCTGTAAATAAGACAACAAACTCTAAAGAAAGTAAAATGCGGTCATGAATAAAATTGTTTCTCATTTGTTTATAACACCTTATGTTTTATTACACGCAATGTGGCAGCACGCGACGACAGATCGAATAAGTGACGTTTAAATAAACGGAAACCTGTAAACATGTAAATGGTGCGAAGACCTTACATATTTTCTGTGTCATTTTCCCAACCCTAAGGCCTAATTGGTCGTGCCGTGCCTTTAGTCTGTGGAATGTGCGGAGGGATATCGCTAAGTTCCCTGGGACAGCGTGAGTCGGCTGCGTGTGTGCTTTTCGCGAGCGCAACAATGTAACTGTTTTTTTCTTTTCTTCCCTCGCGGAAAATGCCTCTCACTGCTCCATAGTTACCAAGTGGCATACATTCCGGTGACAACTGACCTGCTGTCGTATGGTTACTGTATTCAAACCCACCGAGACACTAAAAAGACCCAATGCTGTTCTTTTGTTTAAAACCTTCCCCCCCCCCCTCCTCCGGAGCTCCCTCCTCCAATTAAGGGGGTTGCTATAGTGACTCTATTTTATATTAGCCGCAAAATGCCATTTCACTTTTCTTTGCTTTTCTTTTTTTAACCAGAGAACCACTGAATCTTGAAAATCAATCAGTATGGCCATTAAATATAGTGATATTTTATGTTAATCATTATGTAAACAGTAGCCTTTACATTAAATATTCATATCTGTATTCCTTTCTAGTCTTTCTAGTCCTGAGGTTTTCAGTATGAGAGGAGATCACACATGACTGTTTGTCACTCTCTCTCTCTCTCTCTCTCTTCCAGAGACATATACACACACAGGTCTTCCTGCTGATTTCAGCAGCCTTTCTCCATAATTATGGCTCCAGTTGCTGAACTGCAGATTTTTTTCCTCTGGTGTTTTACTGGACCCTGGATCAGATTCAACCATTTTTGTCAGCACTATGAGAAAGTTTAGTTTAAGATGTAAGCTGACAAAAACAACAGAAACCCAAGATATCTCTCGCACTGCTGAATACTTCAAAACCACGGTTATGATTACATATATTTCATAGATTTAAGTTTTATTGAACCTATCCATCTCTGTCTGTTTTTTAACCAGAGAACCACTGAATCTTGAAAATCAATCAGTATGGCCATTAAATATAGTGATATTTTATGTTAATCATTATGTAAACAGTAGCCCTTACATTAAATATTCATATCTGTATTCCTTTCTAGTCTTTCTAGTCCTGAGGTTTTCAGTATGAGAGGAGATCACACATGACTGTTTGTCACTCTCTCTCTCTCTCTCTCTCTCTTCCAGAGACATATACACACACAGGTCTTCCTGCTGATTTCAGCAGCCTTTCTCCATAATTATGGCTCCAGTTGCTGAACTGCAGATTTTTTTCCTCTGGTGTTTTACTGGACCCTGGATCAGATTCAACCATTTTTGTCAGCACTATGAGAAAGTTTAGTTTAAGATGTAAGCTGACAAAAACAACAGAAACCCAAGATATCTCTCGCACTGCTGAATACTTCAAAACCACGGTTATGATTACATATATTTCATAGATTTAAGTTTTATTGAACCTATCCATCTCTGTCTGCTGGTCTGTGTAATTCAGAAAATACTATTGTTCACTGGCACCGAGACACAAATCAAGACAAGTTTTTATATACTCATCTTTCCCATATCGTTTGATTTTCACCAACAGTTTTTTCCCCTTTGTTCGTTTCCCGGCCTTTCTCTATCTCTTTCACTCTGATGCTGTCTCATGTTGTTTTGGTTTTCCACAGAATGAGATCCAGATGTTTTTTTGAAGTGTAGGAGGAGAGAGAGCAAAGGACAGGAAGGGTAGGGGAGGGATGAAAGATGAGGTGAATGTGCAGTCCTTTAGCATACATACAGAAAAAAAAATGAAAAAAGAAGTTGGGAGTTGAAAACAGACGGGAAATATTAGAGTATATGCAGCAAAAGTGTATGAGGATGGCAGACTGACTGGGGGGCTAGAGGTATGTACGCATGTTGGAGCGGGTCCTAACAGGATATGACAAAGCTACGGTTACAGTATGTGTTTGGCCCAGGGGGTTGGATACAGCAATACACTTAATGCCTCAAATGTATATCTAGTGATAGATAGAAAGACAGATTTGGACGAAATTACAGCTTGATTGTAAATGACACAAAAAAATTTAAAATATTCTGCTCACAAGTGATACTTACCTTGATTTCTCTTTATTTTCTTCACACGTCTAATGTCTAATTTTATTTATCTCAGTCATGTCCCGACACTCTTGAAAAAAAAATCCTTATTAAGGCAAAATAGTGATAATTTAAAGGAAAAATAGCTATCAATTATTCAGTTATTTTCAGTCAATAAAAATGGAAATTTGTCATCATATTTTTGAAAACAAATTAAATTAATAATTTCATATACGCTCTAAATTGCAAGCAACTGTCCAGGCCACGTCCTGTTCGCCAGCTCAGCGTGTATGTGGGCTTTTGTGTACTTTTTCCCTGGCCACCCCACAAGACAAGAACCAAACATGACTGCCAGAGCTCTCTCACCGTAGGCGGAGGGTGAACCAACTCCAGGGTAAAGCTAAAAGCAGCCAAATGTATTAAACATTTAAAATCGTCTTTTTAGGCAAGACGCAGACGGTGACTGTGATTTGACCAAGTACAACATGTTCCTGGATCAACATCCTTGTTGATCCTGGAACAGCATTCCAATTAACCAATCAGAATTGAGGGATAACTTTTCAGGCAATATCTGTTTTAGGCTTATGATCAGGGTTAGGTGCTTCTACACCCTTGTTAATCAGCTATCATTTTCACACTAATAAATTATGGGTAGGGTTAGGTTTAGGGGTAGGGATTGGGTTTAGTCTATATTTTAGGACAGTAATGTTGATCCAGGATCAACAAAAGATGTTGATCCAGGAACATGTCTTACTTGGCAAAATCACAGTGACCAGAACCAGACATGGCTGCCATGTAGGCTAAAAAATGTTTAATGGGACTGAATTTGTATTTGTGATTTAAAAATGTATTAAAAACGTTAGAAATTCATAATTATATAATGTTTCCGTTTCCACAGTTATTCATAGAGCAAATAAATTCTATATTGAAAGTGACATTATCACTAACATTGATCTATCGCGAGTTTAAGCACTCTCAAAAAAACTAAACTATCGTTATAATCACTGAAGCTGTATACACTGTGAAATGAATCTCTTACTTACATTGTACGTACATCTGCGCTTTGTTGTTTATGATGAGAGAATTCGCAAGAGTCCGGAATTCAATAAGTGAATGCGCGCGCACTCAACAAAACTGATCTGTTTCAACGATGACTCATCTGAACGCCTCTGATTGGCCATTGCATTCCTAAGCTCAACAGAATTGTGTGTAATTGGTTAAAATGCGCAACACTGTAAAAACGCCTAAAATGAAATACAGTGCAACATGAGCAGCGAATAAAACAGTGAATAATAGATTTAATTTGTTTGTGCAGGGGGATTTTTGTCCAATTTAGTGGCATTTTTGCCCCAAGTCCCCGTGGCCAGGGGAAGGCTAAGCCTTACACACGCTCCGCCTAATATGTCTCTCACATCACCATGACCAGAGCCAGACTTCCTGTCCTGTCCTTAGCACATCTGTCCATCTCATAAACAGATACATTTCTCAGATGACACAGTTTCAGTAAAAAAAAAATTAGACATGTAATATGTAGAAATATTATATGCATGTTTTTTTATTCGCTGAATAAGTTAGTAAGGGCTGCCACAATTTCCAGAGAATCAAAGCTGGATGTTTTTTGCAGGCAGAAAAATTGCAGGCATTTTGTCAAGTGGAAACAGAAAGAAATTCAAGAGTAATCATCAGTAATTTGACAAGTCCCTTCATGTCATAATTTTTTCCTCTAATACATGCTCGCCACTGTACCTATTAAAAAATCATGCAAAGAGCAACACAGAAGTGAACGGGGATTCAAAGATGGGGGAGAAAGAAAAAGAGATTGAAAAGAGAGGGGACAGGAAAAATGGCTCAGAGATGTTTGTGGTGGGCTGTTCATTTAAAAGCCTCATAAAAGAGAACAATTTTGCTGTGTGGAGAAATGAGGAGGGGGGAGGATGGGAGGGAGGCGATAATGGCAGAGCGCTGTTTTTTCTGACTCTTTCAGCTGGAACAGTTTTAAGACACTTAAAGAGTGGCGAACGCTCCTCCTTCACTACAAAGCACAGTCAAATGTCTCTGGTCCCTTGCTCTCTCAGATATGAGAACATCAGTTTTCTGCAACAAATAAGCTACAATTTATTCAAAGACATATATATTAACTATACATATATTATACATTATACATATATATTAATTATGCATTTACATATACACTACAGGTCAAAAGTTTGGGATCAGAAAGACTTTTAATGTTTTTTACAGGAGTTTCTTATGCTCATCAAGGCTGCATTTATTTGATCAAAAATACAGGAAAATGTAATATTGTGAAACATTATTATGATGTAAAATAATGTTTTTCTATTTTAATATACATTAAAATCTAATTTATTCCTGTGATGCAGCGCTCAGTGTCACATGATCCTTCAGAAATCATTCTAATAAGCTGATTTATTATCAGTGCCGGAAACTGTTGTGCTGCTTCATATTTTTTGGGAACCTGTGATACTTTTTTCAGGATTCTTTGATGAATAAAAAGTTAAAAAAGAAGAGCAATTGTTTAAAATAGAAAGCTTTTCTAACAATATACACTACCGTTCAAAAGTTTGGGGTCAGAAATTTGTATTCTTTCTTTTTTTTTTTTAAAGAAATTAAAACTTTTATTCAGCAAGGATGTGTTAAATTGTTAAGAAGTGATAGCAAAGATTTATATTGTTAGAACAGATTTATATTTTGAATAAATGCTGTTCTTTTGAACTTTTTATTCATAAAAGAATCCTGAAAAAAGTATCGCAGTTTCCAAAAAAATATTTGATAATTGAACATTGATAATTCTAATAATAAATCAGCATAATAGAATGATTTCTTAAGGATCATGTGACACTTTATACTGGAGTAATGGCTGATGGAAATTCAGCTTTGCATCACAGAAATAAATTATATTTTAAAGGATATTCAAATAGAAATCATTATTTTATATTGTAATAACATTTTGCAAAATTACGTTTTTTCTGTATTTTTGATCAAATAAATGCAGCCTTGATGAGCAGAAGAGACTTCTTTAAAAAACATTACAAGTCTTACTGATCCCAAACTTTTGAGCGGTAGTGTATATTATTATAAATATACAAATATATTAATATGTGTGACCCTGGACCACAAAACCTTAGTCTTAAGGTGCTTGGGTATATTTTTTAGCAATAGCAAAAAAAAACATTGTATGGGTCAAAATGATCGATTTTTCTTTTATGCCAAAAATCATTAGGATATTAATTAAAGATCATGTTCATAAAGATATTTTGTAAATTTATCAAAACTTCATTTTTGATTAGTAATATGCATTGCTAAGAACTAAATTTGGACAACTTTAAAAGAGATTTTCTCAGTATTTTGATTTTTTTGCACCCTCAGATTCCAGACTTTCAAATAGTTGTATCTCAGCCAAATATTATTCTATCCTAACAAAACATACATCAATGGAAAGATTATTTATTCAGCTTTCAGATGATGTGTAAATCTCAATTCACCCATAAATTGACCCTTATGACTTATTTTGTTGTCCAGGGTCACGTATATTAATTATTATATTAATATAATTACATAAACTGTTAGTTTCGGTCCTCAAATCTGATATACAGAAACAGTCCAACAGCATAGGACTTTTTACGTTTCTATCAAATCATTAAGACAATAGAGAAGTGGCTTTATGAGTCAGTCATTGAATCATTCAATGAACTGATTCATTTTAAAAAGTTGGAAAGTGACCTTTATGACTCAATTATTGAGTTATTAATTAAATCATTCAAAAAACAAAACAAAAAGAATTGTTCAGGAATTAAATGCCATGTGTTTTATTTTTTAAATAAATATTTGCATTGCGTGGAGCAAAATCAAAGAATGTAGCTGCCAACATTGTGTCTAAAATGTAAGTTACCAAATATATTAACTATTGCGTAAAAGCCCCTTGCTATTCCAGTAACTTCTCAGAAAAGGCCCAGGCCATCATTGCTTAAACTAGCAATGGCAGATCTATGGTGTAAGAAAGTTTAAGAAAATAGTTTCACAGAAATATGTTCTTTGGGACACTGCCTAATTTTTTCTTATTTACATATTTGTCCGTTGAGCTGTGGTAAATAAGCAATATATTTTTTACATATAATGTTGATTATTATTATGATGTTAATAATATATATATTCAAACTTTATCACTAAATAAATAAAAACGGAACTTTCTCAAAACAGCTTAGATGTAGAAAGTTTAGCAGTAAAGCAGTAAAAGACAAAAGAAAAAGTGTATGTGAGTAGATTTGGTACTCATGTGAGAAATTAATTTTTTAAGGTCCAGGAAAGAGATAATAAAGTTAAAAAAAGGAACTTTATTTCATTTTCATTTCCAAGTACAAAAAGTATGAAACATACCAAATCAACATATTAGAATGATTTCTGAGGAATCATGTCAATCAATCAATCAAAATTTGTGACACTGAAGACTGGAGTTACTAGAGTTTCAGCATTAAAAATTTGTATTGATCAGTGTTTTTTGTGTGTGTGTGTGTGTTAAACAGAACAGTGAACCCAAAGGAAAAAACACAAGAACAAATGCTCCTGTACCTCCATCTTCGCTCATGAAGGCCCCTTTGATATTATCTGGTACTCCTTGCCATACACTGATGGGTTTGGGGTAATCTGGATCCACAGATCTGCTTTTCTCATTGAACCGGTAATACCTAAGAAAACAGAAAAGTCATGAATGACAAATGATGACAATAAACGAAAGCGAGGAGTTCACAAAAAAAAGAAGAGGAAGCATTTTTCACCATATGACACAAAACCATTGGATTAATAACCAGACACTAAATAAGACATGGTGAGTAACACTGGAATCATACTGGGTTCCTCTGAAGAAGTAGGTGTTGCCGGTGGGTGTGTAGAAAACAGCGGCGTCCAGCTTGTCTCTTGGTAAGCCTGTGCCAAGCTCCTTGAAAGTTTTTGGATAACCTTCCTCCATTTTGGCCTCATTGAAAACCCAATATTTGTCCCCTAGAGAGAGGACAGACAAACAAGCATTATTACACAATTTACCTATTAAAACCAGAGATGCAATGTAAGGCCTAAAAATCTAGAAGATGGACGCACCTTTGAAGAAAACAAACTTTCCATCAGAGTGTTCGTAAGCTGCGTTGATAGAGGGAGGCAGTCCCTTCCAGAAGTGTCCAATGGGCATGGGATAGCCCTGCTGAGGTTTACCATCACGCATTCTCCAGAACCACTTTTCCTGTGGAGTAGAGAGGGTTTAAATATTAAAAACACACAAAATATACGGCATGCACACACAATTGATTTGCATTCAGTTGTACCTACCTTGAAGACGAACATCTCTCCCCTGAGGAAAGCGATGGTGTCGAAGTGTCCCTCACATATGTCAGGGCCAAAGGAAGGCCGGTCTGGCCTGCGAGTGGGGGGCCGGGGTGCTGGGGGTTGGGGCACCTCACTGGAGCCAGCACCTGTCGAAAAACACACAGGTGAGCATCAGGGTTATTAGAGTTAACTAAAACTAAAATCACAAAAAAATAATTACTGAAAGATCTTTAAAGACAGAAACAGATATCAACACATATTTTACTATATTTATTTTATGCATTTGTAATATTACTGTTTCAATGTCTTCATTTAAACTTTACTGTAAATGCTTCAGATAGAATGTGAAACATTCTGGCATCTGTCATTTCTTAATGATATGTAGTCATTTTTATAATTTTATTTTATCTTTTATTCTTATCTTATACATTATTTTTATGATAGCTAGCCTTTTGAAGGAATTTATACACTTTCACATATTTTCCTAAATGACTTGTCTTGTAACTTGGCTTGTAAAATGAACATCATAATAAATAAATGCAACTAAATGCATTTATGCGATTGCAATAAACTACCATATATTTGCTGGATCCCCCGTCTGTCATCATCAGGCAGTACAAAGTTCTCAGTGTCCATCCACTGGTAAAACGGAGCCATGATAGCAGAGGGATCGCCTGAGTGTTCCAAACCAAGAGCATGACCTAATTCATGCACTGCCACCAGGAAGACATCATTACCTGAAAGAGAGGCAGAACGATGACGCTCTAAATATAAAATATCACAGAAATAACATTCTGAATTTACAAGCCACGTCTGTAGTTTGCTCAGCTGACTCATTTCCACATTCTCTTATTCTCTGCTCACCTCCCTGGTCAACGTTGCCTGTCGTCCAAGGCTCTGCTGCGTCAAAGTGGGTATCACCTCCGATACCGTGACCAGGGAAGTATGCGTGGGCGAGGAAACCTCCCTCGCCGTCAAATGGGGTGCTGTCTCCGTGAAAGCCTTCCGCGAAGGAAAGCATGATATCTGCAAACTTGTCCACCTTGCCATTGATTTGACTGTATGGGATTTCTCGGAACTGGAGTGGCGTCACGGCTTCCCAGACCTTGAAGGCCTTCCTGATGGCCTCATGTGTGGCATGTTCGCCCACTTTAGGAGTGTAGTTCTGGATACTGACAAAAGAACACATTTGTGCTTATTCAGGAAGGAAGTGTGGAAACTGGATTTTTTAAAATATGTTGTTACTTGGTAACTTGTTCCACTTTTGGAAAAGAAGAACCAGACTAACTATTAATTTTCTAAAGAAGTTCATAATTATTTACGTGTTCTGAGTGTTTACATTTGGATTGTAATGTAATGTGAAAATTTAAATGGCAATCCAGCTAAAATTTATCCAGATAATATCCAGATACAAAGTGTTAATGACAGGTGTATAGAGGGCCACAGTTTTATATACACTAATGATTATTAATGTTCTCCTCAGTTTGTCAATTACAGTTCCATACCTGAAAGTGATTTCTCTTTTGTCCCATTTTAGGCCCTGGATGACATAGCGCTTCTTTCGTAGGTTGCTCTTCAGTTCAGAGCCAAATTTATCTGGAACTCCGCATCTTGGCCGCTTCATGGCCCTGACAACATCATGTTAATGCAAGACATAAAGTCATTCAATTGTATGTGTCTGAGTCACATAAGAAAACGTTTAAAGGGTTAGTCCACCCAAAAATTACAGTTCTGTCAATTTTTATTTACATCTAAACAGTGATCAACACACATTCATACACATTTGGTAAACCTGGAAGCTTGGTGAAAACCAATGAGGTCAGTTCTAGTGTGTGAGGCACACACAGGCTTCTGTATTTTACCATATGTGATGTATGTGTTTTTCATTGGAACAAAATCCTAAATTAAATCTGTTAATCATAACAAGCTACCATATAGACCTAGATTAAATCGTTCGATTCATATGGATTCGTTTTACGACGCCTTTATAACCTTTTTGGATCTTTTAAGTTTTGTTTACCTGGACATTCAATGAGGGACAGAAACCTCTCAGGTTTCATAAAAAAATATCTTAATGTGTGTTCAGAAAATTAAACAAAGTTTTATGGATTTGGAATGACATGTGATTGAGTAAACAATGACAGAATTTTTATTTTTGGGTGAACTATCTTTTTAACTCTCTATCAGGTAATATTCCATCCATTTTTGGTCAAATATTTTTAGTCATTAGCATATATAATGTAACTATTAAGATAATTATTGCACATAATCTTAAAATGGTTACGATTAACAAATTAGAGGTGTACGAGATTGGGCTAGACTTACGAGAGAGTAGCTGGATCCATAGTGCCGGTGACAGTGAGGCCATAGAACTTCTGCATGGCGGATATAGCAGTGGTGATGGATTTAGGAGAGCGGATTGCCTGAGCCCGAACATCGCCAGGAGGAAGATACCCATACTGCTGGAGCCATGCCTGAGAGAGAATGAATGTCACATTAGCACACATGCATATTGACATGCAGCTGTCCTACAACACCTCTTCATCATTGTAATAAACCATACTCAACAATGAAGTAGTGCACTGCACAGACACACAAAAAAAGATTCTCTGGAAAACATCACTTGTGTCAAAAGCATGAAATAGCACAGGTGTCACTGCTGTCATGGCTGTTACGGTGATCTCAGTGAATTCAATTTGGGCTGAATGTTTTTGAAATGTACTCACTGTTCCAAATGTCTCAGTGCAGCACCCCATCCACATGACATGCTGTTTGAATTTATAAAATTTAATTGTACATAAACCTGCCAAAGTCCACAATCACCCGTGACGAACCACAGTGCAAACACAAAGATGTGTGTGCTTTTGACCTGGTTAAACTTTTGTGGGTAAGAGAGTGTGTGTGTGGAAGCTCGAGAATCTTAAAGGCTTTAACTGTGGCGTGTGTGTTGTAACTGTAAGTAACTGTAATTTATAAAATTTAATTGTACATAAACCTGCCAAAGTCCACAATCACCCGTGACGAACCACAGTGCAAACACAAAGATGTGTGCGCTTTTGACCTGGTTAAACTTTTGTGGGTAAGAGAGTGTGTGTGTGTGGAAGCTCGAGAATCTTAAAGGCTTTAACTGTGGCGTGTGTGTTGTAACTGTAAGTAACTGTGTGTCTGTGACTTTATGACCCTAATTTAACTTTAAGGATGTACGTGTGTGTGTGTGTTTCCAACCTATTTATAATTTTGGTAGTATATTTGCTTAAGAAATTTCACCAGTTTCACTAAATCTGACAAAGCCTGTCTTGGTTTCAAAGAACGTAAATTCTTTGAAACCTGCATAATCTTTGATATACTGTATGTATATATTTCAAAGAATACATATACCTGTATATGTATATTATTTGTATTAAATTATATTACATTTCTATTTCTATAGGGACCAAATTGTCTCCAGAAGCTAGCTAAACCTAACATTGTTAATAAACATTCAATTAAATTAGTTATTCATAAATGTATGTAGGAATGCTTTTTTATTTAAAGAAAATGCTAAATGGTTTTTTAAGGGCCGGATTAGGGCTACCCACACTTGGGCAAAGACAGACCAGACCGACTTTCAATTGAAACAATTCCTCTGTTCTCACTCTTTCTGACTTACAGGGAAAAAAACAGAGAACTATGAAAGTAGAGAAATAGGAACACTAACAAAGAATGTAACAAATAAAACCTAAATTTATCTCATAATGTACAACTAGACAAATGTCAATGGTAATGTAATTATGTATCTTCAAAGAACTTCATCTTCAAGTGTTTCATGTGTTGTTTTTTTCTAAGCTCTGCTTTTAAACTTGAACTCAAAGAAACATATTTGTATTTGTTTGTAGTTTTTCTTCAGTAGAATGTTCATTGTTAAGAAACAAATTGATCAAATCTAAAAAAAAACAATTAAAATCAGTTATTTTAAGAACCCACAAGCCAGTATTCTGAATACTGGAGATACATGTCCCACTCGCGTCTATGGTGGTTATGGCCCTGATTATAACTGTATAGATAATTGGAACATAATGGGCTTATTTGGGTTGTTAACACAAAGGTTATATGTTTAGTAGTGTCGTGGCAATTTTCAATTTCAATTAAATGTATGAGACAAAAGTCCTTTGAATATTTATTTTCTTGCAAGAAAAGTTAAACAGTCATACAGTCATCCAAGTTGACTGCAGAGTGCGACAAAGAGGAAACACCCAAACTCAACATTTATACCTTCATCAAATGCCGATGCTTTGATCTCATCAAAGCATTTGATGCATATTCAATATATACTGTATGTCCATTTAAGGTGTCCAACTATGTCCTCCAGATGTGTTGCAAAGAGGCCAGGACGTCTCACACTTGTCTTGCACATAAACATTAAATAGATTTCCTGTTATTTCTCAGCTCATCGAAAACTCAAGCAAATTGAAGCACTCAGAGACAGTCTAAAGAACACTCTTTAGTACAGTGAAGCAAATAATACTAATAAATATTAATATTTCAGATAGAAATAAAATGTTAAATCTGCCTCCCTTTGTTCTTTCTTTCTTTCTTCTGAACAGGCAGTGTCTGAATCTGCTACAGAGAGAAATGAGAAAAAGAAGGAAGAGCATGATGGCAGAGAATAAGTCCAGATTTACAATGGTTGTAAATGATTATGCATGCATGATTATGTTCCTAAAGCTACACTGAAAACTGAACTAAAAGCAACTCAAGTTTATGAGACCTTTGAGTCACAAATACTGAGAAATGTGAATCACTTGAAACTACATAAAAAATGTTAAACCAACAGAATTCCCTGAAATGTTGTCAGCTGTTACGTGCTGAGGTCTATTTACCACCTTCTAAAACTATATTCTGGATATCTTTGCTTTGTAAGGTGATTCCACCTTCAGAAACAAAGACAGCATATTTCACTTCACATTTTAAATGTGCTATAAAACTGTGTGAATATATGACTACCAAAAAGATAGATACATTTATTGTGTTAATAACTGAATATTTGCTGAACAAAAAATCTGTAGATGCCTTAATAAATTTATTGGCTGAATGAGACATTTTAGCGAACAAACATATTCAAACTGACAAAACAATGTAGTGTTACTTAGAACAATTTTTAAGACAGTAGTTGAGAGAACCTTTAAAATTGAATGCGTTTCAAGCTTTCTCAACAATTCCTTTTTACAGTGTACAAGGCTCAATTATATGCTAGTTTCTCCTATAATCTACACATCTTCAAAATGGGCAAAACACTGCAACAAACCTGTATGTCAACATACAAGTACTACAGTGATTAAAACTCAGAGAGCAACTAAATCAGTGAGTGCTTTCACACTGGTTCACTCATGTTGTAGATTTTCCAATGGGACTTCAACACAGGCCATATCGGTCGAGGAAGTAAAGATCTGGATAACACTATAGTGTAGTGTTAACCTGGTCACCCTTTGCTCCATTTTTCTTTCTCCCCGTCCGTCACTTAATTCCTCTTTTCTGAGTGCTTTCTGTGTGTGGTGGCTCCGCTGTGGTGACGCACCCCATTTCAGTAAAAACATTCTAACTCATGAGGATGAAAACATTTCCCTCTTTCTCTCTTACTCCCTCTGAAGGCCACTCTTCTCCCTCCCGAAAAGCCTCAGGTCTCCTCTTAATGCTGCCAGCAATCCCAGCATGCTCCGCTGGCCTGGCCTGGAACTCCCAGCGGTGGGCATCAAAGATTCTATTTAGAACCCCTCCGCCGTTCCCCTGACTGAGGAAGAGCGAGTCACTGTGTGGCCATGCGTCAGCTATTACCATGCAGACAGGTAGACTTTATTGAGTTAACAGAGTCTCGGGCAGTTTGGGAAAGCTTTATGTAATAATCAAGCCAGACACTGCCATCATATACAGGTCTGGGAACAGATTTCACCAGTAATCATTAAACTCACACATGATAGTGACTGGCAGGTTCAGAAGGATGTGAGGTTAAGTGTAATCACACGCTAAGACATCACCGCCGCACATGCCAGCAAGGCTAACACATGCTACATGAAACATATAAATCAGCTCTCCTTTAAAACTAACGGAGTCAGTATGATTAGGTGATTGCTGAGATGGCTGTTTGTGAAAAACAATTTCAGCATTTTATGGTGTCGCAACATGAAAAACACATTCCATGTTGGGAAGAGGAACATGTTTTGCTGGTAGGCTGTGTGCAGTTTTAACACTACACAAAAAAAAACAACAACTGTGCACAGCACACAACTATCCTGATCTCTGATTCTTATAGTTTCTCTGCAGAAAATATTGATGTCAAACTTTCCGCTTAGGGGGAAAAGCTGCGTTTATGATTTTAACAGCTGATCAGCTGCTCCAAAGGTATTAGAGAGGGAAAGAAAAGAGCAAACTATAACTAAAGAGAGAAAAATAAGTTGAAGGGGAAAAAAACAAAACCTATAAGAAAGTTAAGAATCTAAAATCAAAGGGTAGAAGAAAAGGAAGAAGAAGAAAAAAAGGAGGGCAGAGGTGAGTCTGAATGCACGACAGAAGGACTGAGTCAGTCGTTCCTCCTTGTCTGTGCCAATGGAAAAAACTGAACATTTTAGACATTAGTTCCCGCGTCTCACTCTGCATCTTCACGTGGAGAATCACTGACCCATTTAACTGAGCAAATGAACTAATATTAATACAGGATAATATTTCTGACCTCTCATGACTCTCAATTGCTATTAAACTGCAGAAGTTAATTCCAGCACTTACAGATGCATGACATTATCATCCATATTTAATTCACATTCTCATTTATATACTGCAGAACCACAATTTTTCCATGGAAATAAAACATTAAAAAGAGAGATTTTGGTGTTTGAGCTTTTTTGTGTGTTTGAACTTATCTAAACTGCATATAACATGAAACATTTCCTCTATATTTAAGCTTCAACCGATGAATGTCTGAAAGATTCAGCAGAGTTTCAGCAGATGCTTTGCATCTGTAATACTACTTAAACAAACACATCATCTCTCGTCTAAGGTTGGAGAGGGGGGCAAAACCCAGATGTTTTCCATAAGGAATATACCCGAATTTCTCTATTTCTTTCTTTTTTTTTTAGTACAGTATTCAAACAACTGCACCTGTAACAACAGCAAAAGTGCAGGGCTGTTGTCTGAGGAATTGTTAAACCCTGGTATATCCTGAAAAAGGCATAATAAACTTAATGTAATGCATTTAGTTTATTAGTTCAGAATTCCTGGGGAAATTATTGAGAGCATTTTTTGTACAACTTAAAACAAACAAACAAACAAACAAAAAACGTATGCATGTGGTTAAAGCATATGAATAAATATGGTAATAAAAGTAAACCAAAAGTCTGAAGAGTAACAGCAGTTTCACATGGACTTGGCATCTGTGATTTAACCTTTTGTGTGACCTTTGTCTTTGATCACGCATCTCTCACATGAGGAGACTGTTATCATCTTTGAAAACTTTGGTGGAATCTGCAGAGCTGAATTTTTTCCACACTATCCTTGGGTACATCTCTCAACCATCTCAGAAATGTGAAGGAGTGTGAGAGTAAGGAATGAAGGGATACAACTAGAGACACTTTTAAAAATGTCTTAAATCCTCGCTCTGATCTCGTTTTCTTTATTTTAGGCCATTAAGGTTTCCTGGCTTGCATCTGTGACAGAGACGCCAAACCGTCCTGAAAAACATTCAATCGTTCTCTCCCACTCACAGTTATGTATGTGTCTACCAGACATGTAGGCCTATTTCTGAAGCAGACATTAGGATGCCTCTGGGTGTATAAACAAACGGATATAGCTACTAATATATCTACCTATTAGTCCCATTTTTCAGTCACAGCAAATACAAAACCTGACATGCGGAAACATCTGAGTGCATCTGTGTCCAACAATGCAGGCTTGACAGACAGACAGACAGACAGACAGTGAAAAGAGACACACACACACAGACAAAATACTATAAGAACAGTGGATGCTGTGTTACCTCTGGTCTGACTTCTTTGTCACTGGTCCCGCTTTGCACCAGAAATACGCTGGCGAGGGCGAGGGCGAGCGGCAGCAGCCGCGGTAACGACTGGAGTTTCGGTAACATTCCTCAATGTGCGAGAGTACTGAACTCGGGACACTAAAATGCTCTAGGCTCCGTTCTTACAGTTTTCTTGTCTAAGTTTTTCCTAGCAGATTGTCCTGAATCAGACCATTCCAATAGTGAAAAAAAATCCTTAAAACCGATAGCAAAGTACAAAAAGTATAAAAACGGACTTATGCCTAACCTACTAACTATGTATAATCATTATTAATGAAAAGATTTCCAAAAGTAAAACTTGACCCCAAAAAGAGAAAACTATCTTCAGATGTGAAATATATTTATCTTAGGTTTGCGCTATATTCTCATCTTGCGTTTTCTTTTGTCCTCCGCTGGTCTCTGTCTCTCTCTCTCTCTCTCTCTCTCTCTCTCTCTCTCCTCAGGCGGCTTCAGTTCAGTGTCGGATTGGAGACGTGGTTGTTTTACGTCTGCCTGAGCTACACAGCATCTAACTGGGAGGAGTTCAAGGAGAATCGACCCTGCAGATGTGCATTTTTCCCAGTGTGCGAATAATTCAATGACTTTCAGACGGAGGTTGACTTTCTGAGGGAATTTAGGTTTATGTCCGATACGAGCATCTATTCGGCGACTATCATGTAATCTGTCTCTGATGGTTAATTAGACGATTTATTATTTCTACTATTTCACACCCCAAAAGTTTTAGGCAGCCTACACTACCAGTCAAACTTAAAAGAGACTTTAACAGTTAAAACGATTTAAATTAGTTTTGTCGACAAATATGAGTTGTGCTTTTGCCAGTATGAATGTCTTTTTACAAAACTAAAATGGAAAAAAAATATTAAACACAAAAACTTAAAATGCTTTCAGAAACATGCATAGACCACAATTTCGATCTTTCTGGCAAACTGGGACGCCTTAAATAAAACAATAACATTTCATTGTAAATGTAGGCTAATTAAAAAGCATAATACCAATAACACTCTAACAGATAATATAACAAGCATTTTAATAAATATCATCATCATCATCAAACCGTCTCAGGAGGACATATATATTGATACCCTGAATATTTAGCATACACATATTATGTATATTGTTTTCAGCGCTACATTCTTTATGTGCACAAAGTAGGCTACTCTGTCTGACACAATCCATGGTTAAACAGTATAAACAGTCTTTCGTTGTTTCAAAACAGTGACAATAAAACTATTATATTCCATTGTATTGTATTGTATTCTATTATATCATCATCATCAACAACAACAACAACAACAACAACAACAAAAAAATAATAATAATATATTCAAATGACAGTTCCACTGATTTGACCCCTTCCCTTGCTGTTGGCCCTGACCTATTCTTACTTATAATTATTATTATTGCGAATATTATTTTTTGACTATTCCAATAGGCCTATGTTCGTATAAAGTGTGAGTAGCTGCGTTGAAATTTTTTATATGGTAGTGTTCTTAAAAAAGAATACCAATGTTGAGAATAGTAGTATATTTGCAACCATAGACATAATAAATACCTAATACATAATAAGTATTTATTATGTCTATGCTTGCAACAACCTCTATGGCTACGCTGAAAATAAAGCGCTAAATGTTGACATCTAGTGTTGAAAGCTGAACATTACACGCAGAAAGGGCGTCAGTGAGACGTAGATGGGTGCCAGCGCATTGTCTCCTACACGAAACAGAACTTGCGGAAGTGTCTGAGAGCGAATGTCAGCAAGAGAGGAGGAGGAAAAGGTATAGTAAAAATAAAGTAATTAGACCATATTTACGCGTGAAAGGAAACAATCTCATTTCGAATAGTTTGTACTATGGCACCAGGTCCTAAAAGTGCCCTATTATGAGGTAAAGTAAGTAGCAGGAAGCCAGCTAGCGTTAGCCAAAATCAGGCGAGTGAGAAAGGCTGGTTAGAAGTCGCTAACGAAACTTTCGGAGCAATGCGTCAGTTTAGATGCTGGTCGTCCGGCCTATTACTGTGTTACTGTCGAAACGTCAGGAAATGCTCTTGTATTTATTTCTTGACTTCATGTATGAAATGTCACTGAGTAGTGTGACTGTTTAGTATCTAAACATTGCAGCGCTACTCTGCCTGACACCGAGTTGCGTCACTTTTGAGGAAAGAGCGAGACAGGAAGTCGTTTTACGCGTTTTTATTTGTCAATCACCGACTATTTTTATATCGAATTCACATGTTGACATTTGTCGAGGTAACGCCGATGAGTTTCAAATTGAATCCTTTTTTGTAAACCAAAGGCAAGCCGCGCTATGAGCTCTAGTTGTCGGTGTTTTCTTTGTCTAAATTCATTGTGGTAGTTTATAGTGTTTATTTTTGTCTTCACAGCTAAACACTTCCAACAAGACACATTGGTGGCGATGGTGCCTGTAGTTGTGGCGAGCTGATGGATCTACCGACCATATTTTTTCCATAAATTATATTTTAATTTTTGTTTTATGAGACAACGACCTCGGAGCAATGCGTCAGTTTAGATGCTGGTCGTCCGGCCTATTACTGTGTTACTGTCGAAACGTCAGGAAATGCTCTTGTATTTATTTCTTGACTTCATGTATGAAATGTCACTGAGTAGTGTGACTGTTTAGTATCTAAACATTGCAGCGCTACTTTGCCTGACACCGAGTTGCGTCACTTTTGAGGAAAGAGCGAGACAGGAAGTCATCCTTTCTAAAGTCGTTTTACGCGTTTTTATTTGTCAATCACCGACTATTTTTATATCGAATTCACATGTTGACATTTGTCGAGGTAACGCCGATGAGTTTCAAATTGAATCCTTTTTTGGAAACCAAAGGCAAGCCGCGCTATGAGCTCTAGTTGTCGGTGTTTTCTTTGTCTAAATTCATTGTGGTAGTTTATAGTGTTTATTTTTGTCTTCACAGCTAAACACTTCCAACAAGACACATTGGTGGCGATGGTGCCTGTAGTTGTGGCGAGCTGATGGATCTACCGACCATATTTTTTCCATAAATTATATTTTAATTTTTGTTTTATGAGACAACGACAGTCATTGGCTTGTTAGAATGTCTGTTTCCCCCAGCCTTTGCGTTTTAGGTGCTTTGTTTTTATCAGGTAAGATATCATGGTTTGTCCTTGAGTGTGTATCAAACAAATATGGAACAAACTGTCTTATTATTATGTATATCTGAGGCAGACTTTTCATGTAGTTCAATATATTGACCTTGCCTATGGTGACTTTAGGTTCAAGCTAGGTAGACAAAAGGTTATTGTATTTACTTTGTGATAACTGTCAATAAACAAAATTTAGAGATCCTTATATTTTATGATCAAATTTTTTGTCTTTGCTCTGACAGTTCCTTGCACTTTGGAGCTGGTCTTCGGTGCCGGTAAGTAAGAGCTTGACATCTCTTTGTTTATGCTCAAGGGGACCCTTGAGCAAAGCACCAAACCCCCAACTGCTCCTCGGGTGCCGCAGCAAAAAATGGCTGCCCATTGCTCCGGGTGTGTGTTCACGGTGTGTGTGTGTGTGTGTTCACTACTCACTGCTGCATGTGTGTGCACTTGGATGGGTTAAATGCAGAGCACAAATTCCAAGTATGGGACACCATACTTGGCCACACGTCACTCCACTTTCACTTATATTTCAGTCTGAACGCTCATTTTAATTCACTCCCAATGCCCCAGTTAAAAATACAACATTCCTGACTAGAATAGTCATTGAGAGGAGCGCAGCCGAAAACGAAAGCATTAGAAATTAAATGTCACCTTCTTGTAATGTGTTTTATTGGTATGTCTACATCCAAAGTCCAAAATATGTTTTTTTTTTCCTTACATTGTTGTACACACACTAATGGTTTGGTCACAATTGCTGTTTGGAGCACAAATACTGCAGGAGAAATACAGTCATTTTGTGTGAGGATGAAACATTTTCCCATGCAAATATTGCATCAAGTTTTTCATGCAAATTCGCCATGTTGACCAACAGAATGCTACTTGTTTTAAAAGTGACTATGCAATTGACAGTAGACAATGGTCCCTTTTTTCCCCAACGTGACTTGTCTTTACTTCCTGCTTGACAGCTTAGGATTTCTTTCCAATACTGTCTTTGAATGTTTTAATATATTTAAATGCTCAGTATTTTGTAGTTATATGTTTTAAATGCCTTTCTGCCTGCTTTTCATGTCCAAACTATGTTCTCAAAGGACTCCAGTAAATCAAATATCTTGTTTACGGTGATGATTTCACATGCTTTAACTGTCTGTCTTAGGTCATTGTGATCATTCACCCAAAATACTACAATCCAGACAAGGAGAGATTCATAACTCTGCCCACCATGCCCGGCCTTCCCGTCCACTCAACTGCAGTTGGTTGATAACCTCAAAAGTTGGGGAGCGTGTCATTATCAGGTACCAGCAGAATTTTATCGCCCATTTTTTGTGATCTTTGAAACACCAGAAATCAAAGCAGTAACAAGTGTCCTTGTTAAGTGTTACATGTACTTATGTACAGTAATAACAATAAATTACTCAAAATTACAAGCAACTAACAACCCTAAACCAAACCTTTATCCTAACCTTATGACGCTATAGTAAGTGCATGTTGTTGATTAATATTACTCAGTATTTAAATATCATTACACTGTAACAAGGACACCTTAAAATAAAAACCCTTTGTATTTCGTGATACTGTACAGATATGAACATTATGAACGTAAAATGTGAAAGTCAGCCCAATGATGAGTGTATCTCAGTTTGTAAATAGGTTAACAAATGGCTTTTGCTGTTAACAAGGTGAGCGATTGCTTTGATGCTTACACAGTAAATAGTCCCTTTTTTAGTTATGTGTCATTTCCTTTGTGTCCATCTCTATTGAAGTTTTTCCCAGTTTGATATGAAATGTGGGCAGGAATGGGTGTCCGTGGTTCCTCTCACTGGCTCTCCATCCAAATTCTGCGGTTCCCAGCTTCCAGCACCATTTGAGATGTCAGGGGGAAACGTTACAGTGACACACCACTTCTTCCCTCATTTCTACCCAGTAACAGGGTTCCATCTTTCATTTATTAAAGGTAGATTGCAACACGTTGAAGGAAAATGTTCACGTTTCCTGCCCTCTCACTGACTTTATCCAGAAAGACTGTAAAATCTTCATTCATCTTTTCACCCATCTCTCCAGACTCAGGTCCCTGTTTCCCAGGCGAGTTTGAATGTTACAGTGAACGTTGTCTCCCGGCACCGTGGCGCTGTAACGGACGGGTTGAATGCCTTGGCGTGGGTGATGAGCTTGGCTCTGACGAGGACGGATGTGATGACATTAGCCCTGAATCACCCATAGATGTATGTGGGGGATACTTGGATGCGTTTTATGGTTCATTTACTCCCCCTGTACAAACTGGACAACCGGTGAA